AATAGTCAACTGCTTGTTTTAAGCCTTAATTTGATTTCAAAAGCTCTCTCTAAGCAGCCTACCTGATGGCAAAAACATCTTCTTTTCCTAAGAGCTTTTTCAACAGAGGGAGAGGGAGGGAGGGAGGGAGAGAGAGAGAGAGAGAGAGAGAGAGAGAGAGAGAGAGAGAGATGAGCAACCAAAAAGGTATTGCTTTGTCTGCTTTTGGTTTCAACCTCATTTGCTCTTGATTTCCCCTCAGTGAGTAGAGGCATAGAGCCCATAATGGTCCACTCTCAAGGGAATAGTACAGGGTGTCAAACTACTGGCCCACGGACCAGTTGTATCATACAGAGGCCGTGCCCACCCCAGCTCTGGCAATGCAAAAAAAGTTGTGTGATGCCGCGAGTTTGACACCCGTGGAATAGGACTACTACAGAAAAAAGGAATCTGCATCTCTGATACCACTGAGTTAGAGCAGTTGTTTGACTCAGCATAATGCAGCCACCTGTTTTGAGTCAGAAACTGGGAAACTTGTACAAATTTGTTATAATTCTCTGCATTATCCTTTTGGAACTATTAGTGCAGTTAGATTGGTTGCTTATTTTATTCTTTAATGCAGTTTTTCCAATACTCATACATTTTGCCAACCTAGGTATTTTGGACTTGAAAGGCTTTTAAAACCATTTGGGTGCAAGATTACATTAAGGATAAAAATTAAAAATGGCAGAGCAGTGAAACTGTAGGGAAATGAAACATTTGCATTACTTTATTATCATTTATCTGGAGCTCTAAGTACTTTAGGTTTCAATATTTTTCATTTTGCTTCATTACTCTGAAACATATATTTCCTTGTTCTTAGTGGTATATTGTATATTGAAGAGAGAGAGAAACATTTTTCCTCCCACATTTAGCAATATTTAAGTTTCATGTGTGTGTGTGTGGGTGGGTGGGTGAGAGAGAGAGAGAGAGAAAATATACCTCACTGAAATAACTTAAAGTTAGAATGTAAGAAATATTCTTCTGACTTAAAGCACTGAATATGGATACTCAGGATTTTAATGGCATTATTTCCTATGTGTCTCTCTGTATGGAAATCTATCCTTTTTTCTAGTTTATATGTTGTTTTAAAGTCTGAAGATATATTGCAATTGTCATTTACAAAGAAAAGAGCTCTGCTAGAGCAGGGGTGTCAGACTCGCAATAGTCACGCAGTTTGACACCCATGTGCTAGAGGAAATGAAAGAGCCATCTAGTCTTATATTCTATTTCTCTTATGACCAATCAGATCCCCATATGAATCTTCTAAGCAGAATATGATAAAGGGGACTGTTGCTGTTCTTTAACAGCTGGTAGGCACAACTGAAGGAAACAAGGTCATTATGACTAAGCATTTTTAATTATTCATTTAATTTGACTTACTTCCTTTTAGTCCTCTAAGTCAGAGGCTCCAACCTTTGCAAGTTTACAACTTGTGGACTTCAAACCACAGAATTCCTCAGCTAGCCATACAAGTCATAAAATTGCCAAGGTTGGAGACTTAGCCACTACCATGTGGTCATTTGTCCATTGCCTTCACTAAATTTTTCACAATTCACCTTTTGTGGAATAAGTACTTTAACTTCCAGAAATCTGAGCAACAGCCATGTTGTCTGGGAAATCCTGAGAAAAGAAATTGCATAAGATTGGAGCATGTTCAGCTGCCATAAAATCTAAACAAGGCTCCATATGTTATTTTTAAAGGAAAACTTCATCCGTTGACAATCTGCATACATGCAAGAAACATTCCTATTTTCATATGTGACATCGCCCCAACTCTTTTGCGGATGCAATCTTTGCTTCTCCAGAAAAAAAACTATTGAATATGTCCTGCTACTAAAAGGTTATCCATTTCTTAGCATAAGATAAACAATAAGCCATTGGAGATGATGGCTTTGAAGCTGAGTTTCAAGTATAAGGTTAATTACTAAAAGACTACAGGCTAGGAAAAGAATAATTGTCAAGCTAGACCTTTCTAGAATATGGGATATTTATCAGGTAGGCAGGTTGTTTGCAGTGCTTGAAGAGATAACACATCTTAGCCTCCTGGGGCACATAACAGTTTCTGAAAGGTGAGTCAACAGCCATTCACTCATCTAAGGCTATTTGTGTATGTGTGTGTATGTGTCTGTGTGCCTGCCTAGATAGCTAAGGTACCTCAAGGAATCAAGGAAGTGTTCCTCAGGTTGCTTTGTCCTTCCTTGGAAAATATTAGCTCCTGCACAAACTTATCTATTTTGCATACTCTATCTTGAGTATGCACCAGAAATTCACTTAGATGGATCAGAAATACGTTGGGGAGCATATTGGAAAACATCCTTTCGTGTTCAATGCTAAGTTATAGCAAACTCGTTTTAAAAGAAAGGCTTTATAATGGGATGCCTACAAACATGTGATCCATGGTAGAAGAGGGACCATCAACTTGTCTGAAATCATGAAGGAACACTGCCTTTCAGAATAATAACTGTGATAGATTAACCAATGAACCAACATAAGGCAGTTTCCAGTGTTCCTTCTGTAGGCAGTAATGACTAGAGACAGAATTCAACTGGCAGAGAGTATAAAGGTAGTTTTTGGCTTATGACAACAGTTGAGCCCAAAATTTCTGTGGCTAAGTTTTTAAGTGAATTTTGCCCCATTTTATGTCCTTTCTTGACACAGTTGTTAAGTGAGTTACTGCAGTTGTTAACATGATTGTGAAGTGAATCTGGCTTCCCCATTGATTTTGCTTGTCAGAAGGCCGCAAAAGGTGGTCACATGACCCCAGGACACTGCAACCATCATAAAAATGAGTTAATGGCTAAACATCTGAATTTTGATCATGTGACTATGGGGATGTTGCAAGTCATAATTGTGAAAGATGGTCATAAGTCACTTTTTTCAGTGTTGTTGTAACTTTGAACAGTCACTAAATGAACTGTTGAACCATCTGTTCCTCTTCCCAATTTTTCCTTCTATTGAATCCTTTCTACCCAAAGTTCTTTCCACAGATTTATATTGCTCTCATACAGAGCTGGGTTTTTTTTCTTAAAAAATAAGGGTTGAACTGCCTGTGGCTTTAGTATTTTAAATGCATAAAGGTCAAGTTTCTGAGTTGAATTTATCTCCTGCTGCTTTAGGGGGACACACTTGTGCTGAAGGTACTTGAAAAAAACTACATCTATGTGAAACAATAAGCTCACTCTGCAATTACTCTTGGCACAATCTTATAGAAAATTGCTATCTTCCTCTCTTGAATTAATGTGTGAATCTGTGGTTAGCTATCAGTTTTGGTACTTCTCTGGCTGTTGTAATGGAATTCCTGACCATTTAAACCTGTATAGAATAAATACTGCAATATTCATTTGAAAGAAAACACAGCTTGTTCTCTGTCTCACCCTCATGCATTTCATCTGAGAATCCAGCCAAATGCACCCCATACCTTAGTCTAGAATGCCTGGTTTGACTTCACCAACCACATTTATAAATGGATTCTGTCACTGTGTTGTCTGCATGTGGCGTTTTTGAGGAACCTCTTACACTCTATGAGGCATCAAGGATTTCTGCATACAATGTGCACGTTTGTTTCTTTCTCTCCTTCAGTTAAGGCTATATTGGGGAGATGAAGGAGAGGATGTTGTGTATGTATGGAGATGAGAGAAAGAGTCTTATGGTCCTTGATATCCAGTATAGTATATTTCACAGAATGCAGAAAATTCTCAACTTCAGCAGAATCCTCGTTGCTCTTCTAAGAGATTCATTGTATTTTCTATTCACTAATCTCATTGCTCTATCCCAAATCTGATCTCCAAGAAATAGCCACACAGTGCCCTAAGCAACTCATTATCTCTTCAAAGGAAACAATAAGAGAAAGCACACAGTAAGTCCATTCCCAAAGCAGAGGAGAAGAGAAAAATTTCTTGTCAGGAACAGGCCTTCCAGAGTATTATTTGCTCTTTACAGTAGTTTGGGCTTGTTTGGATAATGGGTAGGATGAGAGGTAGGGATTCTAGAATCAAAGTGATGCCATTTCCTCATGGATAAAGTCTGACTCTACAACTAACCTTTTTAATAGATCTTTCAGGACTGTCCTGGAAAAACTACTTTGAAATGACATTTCTATTAAAAATGTACACTAATGTAAAGTTGCAGCTGAAAACATGAGAAATAACCATCCATTAGAAACAGAGGTTCTTTGCTCGCCATCTTGGCCTAACTTCTTATTAATATTGTACATACAGCTATAATTTACTATGTTATCTAAAACTGATTTCTTAAATAAACAGGAATGTTTAAAAGTTCTTTATTGTGTTGTGTGTAGAATTATGCTTTTTATAGGTGATACTTTGTTACAGATATGATTGTATCTAATTTTGCCTGCTTTGTTGATTAAAAAAAATCAGTAAAATGGATTTGCAGGAGCTAGTCATGAAATTTTAAAATTACATTGTAATTTTTAATCTTGGCTTTACAAATGTAATTCCATTATAATTTTAAAAAGTTCACAGATAATAAATTTTCACTCTTTGTTTCAAGATGTGTCATATCTTGCTGAAAAAAAAGAAAAAATGTTTCCATTCTTCGAATAATAACTTGCTGAATATTAGAATCTGTTTGATCACAGAAATAGAGGATTTGCACAAAAGGGGTATCATATAAAATTCAAACTAGGGCTTCGTACCATTTCAGTGAGAATCAGAATCTTCAACTTTGGTATTATTTCCTCCTCTGTCCTAAATGTTGGTTTCCTCCTGGTGTATTGCAGAGAGTTTATTTCATCTGACATTTGAATTAGGCAATTGAAGTATGAAGTATCTTGAAGTGACCATGCAAGTTCGGAGGTGAGTTTCCCCCCAAAAAAAACTCAGATTGGTTTTCTGAAATACATCTTTCAAAAGTGATATTGAGCAACAGGTTTTCTTGTGTTCTGGGCATCATCCAACAACAATTTGCTTAAGTTCTTAAAGAGGTACAATGCATTTGCCTTCTTGTTTATAATACAGGAAGAATATTCTTCGATTCTTGGATGCCGAAAGAGACATCTCAGTCGTCAAAAGCAGTTTCAAGCCCGGAGATGTAATCCACTATGTGTTAGACAGACGCCGTACACTAAATATTTCTCAGGATTTGCATAGCCTCCTTCCTGAAGTTTCTCCAATGAAGAATCGTCGATTTAAGACATGTTCTGTTGTAGGAAATTCTGGCATCCTTCTGGATAGTGGGTGTGGAAAAGAGATTGACAACCATGAGTTTGTTATAAGGTGAGCCTTTTATCTTTTGCTTGACAGATTACTTATTACTTCAACAGCAATGAACGGAAATGCTTAACTTGGAATGATAGCTCAAAATTTCTGGAATATATCTTTCACCATATGATGCCCAAATTAAAGATATTTCAGTAAGAAAGGAACAGGGTTGTCTATATATTATGAATGAGAAATTGCACTGTTGGAGACTGCAGAGAGATTGGTGACGCTGTTTGTAGGATCTGCTTTTGCTCTTTATGCAGGCACAAAATTATTTTGATAGGGAACTGGCTCCACACAAAAAATGTTTTCAATTTCTCTCTCCTGCCAGTCATTATAATAGAAAAATACCATATTTATTTATTATACATGCACTATCTATGGTTACGTGTCTATGGAGATTTTCAGTCATCCAGGTCATGGTTATCCCAAAGGTGCTTTTTCAAGAAGCAACTGGACTTTCTTTGAAGATGTTTCGTTTTTCATCCAAGGGTTATATGCAGTACAAGGCAGTAAGACATGTGCAGATCTGTACAGTGTTGAAACAAAACCACTTCATAAACGCATGGCACAGCATAGGAGAACAAACCCATCAGGACAAGATTCAGCAGTCCATCTGCATTTAAAAGACAAAGGCCACTCTTTTGAAGACAGCAAAGTCCACATTTTGGATAGAGAGGACTGCTGGTTTGAAAGAGGGGTCAAAGAGGCCATCTGCGTCAAAATTGAACAGCTCTCTTTCAAAAGGGGGGGAGGGATACAACAACATCTATCTCTACCAGACAGTCCTTTCAGCAGTTCCAAGAAGGCTCCACACCCATTTGTACCACTCAGGTAACCCTGAGGACACAAATAAACCTCCAAGTGGCCTCAGTGATTTTCTAAAAGAATGCAAATTACACTCTGTCTGCAATAAATATAAATCTTTCCATTCCCCACCATCCAGCCAGAGCTGAAGAAACTTCTTGGATGAGAAGAAAAATACAAAAGTCCAGTCGCCACTTGAAAAAGCACCTTTGGGATATCTATGGTTATGTTTAGATGAAATACACTGGGGAATAATTCCCATTAAGGGAAGTATTAGAATTTCCTATCTAAATTCTTATATGTTGTACTGCACTGAAAATACATCCTAAATACATGCGCAAATACGGTCATATATTTCATTTTAATAATTAGTTTCTTCAAAATTAAAAATTATGCATTGTCAAAGATCAGCAAGAAATCAAAATTTAGGTAAAATAAATTTAATTAAAAAGAATGCAAGGCATTGGGAAGCTAAAAAGCTAAAAGTGTCCCTGTGGTACTCTGCTAGTCACAACTGACTTTAGCAGGTGGTTCTCATCTCTATTTCTTAAATCAAAGAACCAGCGTTGTCTAGAGACAAAGAACTACCGCATCTCTAGATTGGATACTAAAGGAGCTAATAAAATCAATTAGATATCATTTATGCTTGCTCTATTTTTCTAAGTTACAGTCTACTAGACCTATAGCAGGGGTGTCAAACTGCTGGCCCGTAGGCTGGATGCGTCATGGTGAAACCGCGCCTACCCCATTGTCGGCAATGAAAAAAAAGTCATGATACGTCACAACACGTCATGCGACACGTCATGCGAGTTTGACACCCCTGACCTATAGGTATCAAATTATAGAAGTGAGCAATCCGGTCAAAATTAAACAACGTTAAGCTTCATATTTCCATAATCTTTGCAGGCCCCTCCCTTCCCATTATATCACTGGATTAATAATCTTTGATGGTGTAATTCTTTGTATTTTTGCAAGGAGTAGGTAAAATAATTGTGCTAAGTTGGGGCAAATCTTGCACTTAATTTTATAACTTCTCACCCCAAAATAGAAATGAAGAATATCATCTTCTCCATCAACATTACCACAGATTTCATGTAAATCTTAGAAAGAGAGTTTAGGAGGTGGGGGTAAAGGGTGGCTATTAGATGCAAGAGTTCCTTGTTGCCTTTTGATTTTTTTTTCTTCAGTAGGAATTGATTACTACTGAAATAAATGTGACTGTCAGCTTTCCTAAATATATAGACCAGGACATGTCATCGTTCAGTAGGTTAACTTTCTGTGTTAACATATTTTAAATAGTGGAACATAGCTTAAGTTCCGTGTACAGACACTTGGAGTTCTATAAATAAATATAGTTTAAAAGCTATGTAAATTACTATTGTTCAGGCAGTTATCTTTACAAAGTGAAAGTTGTTATTCGTTCTGGGAAGTGAAAAGTTCTATTTAAAAAACCTACAAGTTTTACAGTTTGCTTGTTTTGATGCACTTATATCATTAGTTAAAAGAATTGTTTGTTTCAAACAAGAGATTTGTTTCAAAAGAGATTCTTCACTTTTCCAGCCAGAGATGATGTAGCAAGGATGGTGGTAGACCCTTATACTTATCATTTGACTGAGTAACCTACCATCTTGCAGAAAATTAGAATATTTTAGACATGTGATGTGACACCCAGAAAAATACGGCATGCTCCATTTAATCCTCCAGGGAAAATTTGAAGGCAAACGAGGTCCAGGCAGAAGAAGAACATCATGGCTTCAAAATCTAAGGGACTGGTTTGGACAAAATTCAGCAGCACTTTTTTGCGCGGCTGCTGATGAAAACATGATTGCCAACGTCCGATAATGGATATGGCACAAGAAGAAGAAGTCAGTTGTTGCTGCAATACAAATGACATAGAATCCTGCAATTTATCTAACATAGTCCCCGATCTAGTCCAACCCCCTGCTCAGGCAGGAAACCCTATGAATCCATCTGGTGGTGATGCTGTCTAACCCACATTTTTCTATCTTATCAAGTAGGTTGTGGTCTACTTTATCAAATGCCTTACTGAAATCCAAGTAAATTATATCCACACCATTCCTCTGTCCACTAATTTTGTCACCTGATCAAAGAATGTAATAAGATTTGTCTGGCATGATCTGTTTATGACAAACCCATGTTGGCTTTTGGTAATGAGTTTATTTGCCTCTAGGTGTTTGCTGATTCGTTGCTTGATTATCTTTTCCAGAATCTTCCCAGGTATTGAGGTCAGGCTGATAGGTCTGTAATTTCCTAGATCCATTTTTTCTCCTTTTTTAAAGATGGGAACTACATCAGCTCTTTTCCAGTCCTCTGGTAGTTTCCCAGGATATCCAGGATATAGTTCAGTGGTTCTGAGATCATATCTGCCAGTTGCTTCAAAACCTTGAGGTGTAATCCAACTGGTCTTGGTGATTTGGACTTGTCTAGAGTGGACAGGTGCTTGCTTGCCATTTTCTTGCCTATCTTAACTTGTGTTTCTAATCTGTTTTTTACGGTACTGTTTTTGATAGGTTGAACTGTTTTTTCCTTTTGTGTAAAGACGGATGCAAAAAAAGAGTTAAGTAGTTCTGCTTTCTCCCTGTTGCTTGTGACCTTCTTACCACTTTCTCCCACTAATGGACCAATCATTTCCTTAACTTTTTTCTTGTTTTTTACATGTTGAAAAAAGCTTTTTTTGTTATTTTTGACTTTTGCCTCAAGCCTTAGCAATCCTCACTTCATCTTTGCAGGCTTGGGTTATTTGCTGATATTCTGCCTTAGTTATGTTAGTTATTTAGATCTTAATTATTTATATCTACTGTATTCCATGTATTCTTTAATTACCATTTTTATTTATTTTTATTTGCCTTTAGATGTTTTTATCCTACCTATATTATTTTTATAAATAACTCAAGGCGGCAAACATACCTAATACTCCCCCCTCTTCCTATTTTCCCTACAACAATACAAAAGTGAGTGAGAATAACTGACCCAAAGTCACCCAGCCAGGTTTCTTGTAAAGGTAGGAATAGAACTCACAATCTCCTGGTTTCTAGACTGGTGCAATAACCACTAGAACAAATTGGAGATATCAATGTATGTGATATAAGCCTTCCACATTCTGAATACCTTGTTGACATGTAAATATCAGTTCCCAGAATTCCTCGTCAACATGCTTATTACTGAGAATTCTGGAATCTGGTTATCCAGAAGTGTTAAAACTGGGTAGGCTGGTATACCATACTATGGGGGAGGTTAGCAGCATTCTAAGCTGTCTTTTCCAAAGGGAATTTTTTCTGGAAGATTGTTCTCTTATTCCAAGCCAGATCTGGACCATTTGTATTGCTTTTCTAGATCTAGGGTAAACATTGAAATAATGATATATATGGACATGAATTACATAATTAAATTAGTACATTTAACATAGGAAATGCATGTTCCAGTCCACCATTTTTTAGTTCCTTCCTACTTTTTTTTCTAAAGATGATGGAAATAGATAGATAGATAGATAGATAGATAGATAGATAGATAGATAGATAGATAGATAGATAGATAGATCTTTCTACATAATGTAAAATCTTTTTATCAAGGAAAAGGGGATAATTCACTCTATTCATATATACAATCCAACCAGATCTCTGTATCTCATAGTATTATTTCATAATCATCACATCTTGTGAACACTTCTTGGCTGCAAACCCAGAATTATTGCTCTAGAGGTAAACATGTCTACTGTCTGAGTAGTAGGTATGTAAACAAAACACTTTATTCTGAGCTTGAAATGTAACAGCTCCAATTAAAATGTGACTATATTTCAAGCATCTTATATTCTAACAGAACAAAATTTGAAATGTTTTGAATGTTCTACTAGAGGGAATTCAAAATATGCCTTTGCTCCCTACATTTTTATCCTGAACTCACAAAAGTAGGTGGAGTAAGTTCATGTTGGTTTTTTCTGAAGGGTATTTGAGGAAGCAAAACATTAAAATTTAATAAAGAAATAAATAATAAAGATTGACTATTTGATTCAACTATTCCTTTATGAGATTTATGTTGATGTATACGCATTTGGAGATTCAAGTTGAAAATAAGAGAGCATTGATTTGTTTCAAAATCTAATTGTTCCTTATGCTAGAACACTTGGAACAACATGGAATGAAATTCAGCTTGACTGGGAGCTGAAATGAAGTGAGATATCTATTTAAAAC